GGAGATATTCAAAGCCCGCCTGGACGATGTCCTGTGCAACCTGCTCTGGGTGAACCTGCTTTAGCAGGGGGGTTGGACTAGGTGATCTTCTGAGGTCCCTTCAAGCTCTTGCCATTCTGTGATTCTGTGTTCTAGACAGCTTTTAATGTTTTCAGTCAGCTTTTATGTCTACATAGCTTTTCATTGCATAGTGTAGCCATACCAGAGGCCAGCTTTTCAAAATGATCCTGAACTCTTGGCTAAGCAAGTTCCTTACTGTCACGCGTTATTACAGCTTGTGAAGAGAGTGATGTTTCATTCCAATTAATCTACCGAAACAGGCTTAGCCTGGTCGAGCTCTGCTGTCTCTGCACACCACCGCCGTGGAAGTAACATGGACCTAACTCTGACGTTCCTTTCTAGAGACCTGGTGTGTAGGGCCCGATCCACAGTCGGTTGAATCAGTGGAAAGATGATTTTTCAATAAGGATTGTGGTGGTAATACCTCTCTTTAAAAAATAAAAATTAAAAAAGCATGAAACTTAATTGGTATAATATCCTTGGGTGGAAGGCAACGCAAGCAGTCTCAGGTACCACAGCGATGACCGTCATGGCACTGAGGTAGGTGGCATTATATAATTAATGGTGTTATTTGGGGTAGTGATGGAATAAAATGTTTTCATATAAGCAGACTGCTAATTTTTTCCTCTAAACATTGCACACTTTTAATAGTTGCCGCACAGCTCTGAAAATACAAAGCTTTACTTTCTCCTGTGAACTTGGACTCCAAATGTTCATACTGAGATGTGAAGCTATGTACAAGTCATGGTGAGAAATTACTGCAAGTACTTAACGTCAGGTAAGTGCTACAGTGGCCGCAATTAGAAAAGTGAGCCGAAGTCATTGACATTTGTATGAGGCTAAAATCCTGACTGGATTATTGTGATTGAAGTTCAGCAGCTGAAATGTAGAAGTTACAAATTGTGAAGTTTAATTGGAGAAGTACAAGGTTGAAATCATTAAAATAATGCATGTCATTCCTCAGCTGTGTCTCAGCAATTGGATTCTCATCAAGTTTAAGCTCTGGGAATTACTTCGGAGATACTCAAAGCTGATGCCTTTTTGAATTTAGCAGATGGCACATAAAAGGTGCTAGTTTCTTAAAAATTTTATATAACTTCTAAAGCTGTTATTTTTGTGAGTGAATTCCATTTGCTGACGAGTTAGGCAGCTGATAGGCTTTGCGAGAGCGGCACACAGCGTGTACTTGCTTGCATACAGAAAAACCCAGTTACTAAGAAAATTTGGCCTGATTTGGCTTCAGTGATGTTGGAAGTCCAGGGGCTAATATTATAAATGCGGGTATTTAGATGCTTTTCTTAAACTGCAGCATTCAGCCACTGGGCCAGCGGTGACAAAATACATCTGTAAATGTCCGGTTTGTTCTCTCTAGAGTACTTTAATTGATGTAAACAGTATTTCTGCATTACACTTGAACTCGAGTAACTTCTAAAATACAGTTTGCCGCTCATTTTCATAGAATCATAGAATGTTTTGGGTTGGAAGGGACCCCTAGAGGTCACCTAGTCCAACCCCCCTGCAGGAGCAGGGACTCCGCTAACTAGATCAGGTTGCTCAGAGCTCCGTCCAGCCTGGCCTTGAATGTTTCCAGGGATGGGGCCTCCACCACCTCCCTGGACAACCCGTTCCAGTGTTTCACCACCCTCATTGTAATCTCAGATGAGAACTTCTCTTTCCAAAAATCTCATTCTGCAGTGAAATAATACATTGAAACTGTATTTCAATTATCTGATAGATGTTATGGGCCCTTTTTTTTCTTTTTTAGCGATACTGTGGTGGATGTGTGTGTGGCGCATAGGCTTTAAGCAAGCAGCAGCGATGCGGTTGGAAACCTCCTGCAGTTCCTTTCACAGCCTGATACTGCAGGCATACCTGAGGCCCGTCAGCGGCAAACAGAATAAAAATGCATGCGGTTGATACTACTGAGGTTGAAAAATTCAATTTCACCTTGCTTGCAAGGTAAAATTAATTGGGGAATAGGGGATTTGGAAGGCCCTGATTAACAGTGGCCAGTAACAGACCAGTCTGCTGTGCCTGTGAAGGGCTGGATGCCGAGTGCTCGGGGACAGGGACTGGGAAACCTTTGTGTGCGGAGAAGGAAATGCAGGTGAAGCTGAAGGAGCCAGGGCTCCAGGGTTTGGAAGAGATGAGAAGGAAGGTAGGCAGGGGTGTGGCAGGGATGGATTTTGTGGGGACCTTTGCAATTGGAATGACTAAACTTGATTTTAAAAACACAAGATGTATTGTACACATAGGAAGTTGTACAGAATTGCATCCATTTCTGTATTAGATGACATAATTATTTAAAAAAAAAAATTAAACATAATGTCTTTTTTTCCCCCTTGCACCTCTGAAAATTATCTGGAGGATACTGGGTGAAGACTGAATTTAACAACATAGTGAATATTCTACTGGGATGTAGATTTGTATGTCTTAACTGCTGCAAGGATGGGCTCAACCCACAGTTTGAGAGCTGGTTGTGAAAGAACATAGCTAATACACAAGGTCTGGTTTTAAACTGAGCAAGAACATTATTAAAAACTGTGAGTAAACTCCAAAATATTGTGGAATTGGGGAAGTGTTTTCT